ATTATACAAAACTACTACACAAACTATGTGTGTTATTTGGTATGTGAACTGCAAGAGCCCATATATTGTTTGCTTTTTAACAAAGTCTGGTAAAAAAAAATAAAACAGAAAATACAAATAAATTTGTTTTAAAGTTCAATTCAATAGGAAATCGAAAAGTTTAATTTAATTTTAAACTTTATGTTCCTGTTGTTGAGTTTTTTTGTGTGATTGTGCCTTTTTGTTTTCTTCCACCTCCCTTCTCTTTTCTTACTCATCATCGCAATAGTTTCACATACAGTTCCACCTCTACATCGCTCTAAGTTACTAGTTTAAACATTTTTGCAATTTCCTTTTTATAAAATGAGTTTCTTTTACAATCAAAAGGATTTTTTTCTGCTATTTTTATGATGAAAATTACACAACTACATTTGTGTGTATATGTGTGAGTGAAATTGTGGGTGTGTGGGTAGATGAAAAGCCAACTACATTCAAATATTTAAAGCAAAAAAAAAAAAAACTTTTTTTGTGTTTTGAAAATCTACTTTCCACTTAAAATAAGCTTAACACTTTGCCATTATTTAATTGAGTTTTTGTTGTTGTTAATTTCCTTTTTATACCTAACCCTTCATCATCTTCATATAGTGTGGCAACACTACAGCTAGCTTTTGAACAAAAAGAGCGAAAAATGAGAAAATTGTATTAATTACAAAAAGCCTTTGTTTGTTTGTTTGTATGTGTGTGTTGTTTAAGTTTCATTTTGGGAAACAAAAGCCAACCATGCCACCCTTAAGTCTAAAAAGGAAAAATGAAAATCGTTTTTGCTAAACTGTTGAAAACATTTAGAAAAACATCAATTTCCCAAGGCTTGACTTTGTAAGATGTTTATTCGTTCTCTCTCTGGCTTTGTTGCTGATTTTTTTTTACATATTTCGAGATTTTAATTAGAACTTATTTTCTTTTGGTTTATTTTTTATATAGTGGTTAGGGGATGTGGTACATTTTCCCCTCATTTAGTTAATAATGAAATGTATGCTGCTCATAAGTATACTTTGTTTTATTACAGTTTTTATTGTTAAATAATGTTTGACAATTTACTTTTAATATCTCGGATTGTGGCGGGTAATAGGAAACAATTTTGTCATCATAAAAAAAGTAATAAAAACATTTGTGTGCTCATTATGTCGAACATTGAGAGACGATAAAAACAGTACCTACACTTAGTGCATTAAATATTTCGAGGGGGAAATTTCATTGTAAATTAAAAGTAATAAAGTAACAAATTTTCCATATTATCGTTGGCGCTTTTTTGCGGCTACTTAAGTGTGGTAATAATACTTGTAATTGTGAAAAATTACAATGGTGTTTTTTGTTTGTAATGGCTCTGGCACAACAAATGAAAAATGCTTTAAAACTTTGCAAAGTTGTAAAAGGTGTTAGAAGTAAAACTAATACATTTTATGGTTTTGATTCTATTAATATAAAAAATAAATCATAATCAAGATAAATACGTATTCTGGGTCGGTAGAGCTATGTCCATCTGTTAGTCTATTATCCTTATGTCTGCCTGTCTGTTTGTTCTTGTGTCTGTCTAAAATCAATTTTCTGAAAACCCCCGATATTTGTGCGATCCAAGTCTTCAATAAATTTATCAGACATGCTTTCGAAAACTATATTAATTAAAATCAGGGATGGAAACTATTTATTTATGAATTTTGGATCTTTTTTGTAGAAAAATTAATTAAAGAATTTGTTCCTATAATGCAACTTTTCTCAAATATGGATTCAAGAACCTTTAGAGGTCACAACTTGTGTAACAATCACGGAATGACAGCCAGCAAGAGACCAATTCCAATGCGTATTCCTACAGGGAAGAGACAATTACCAGTTAGTCTTTAGGTTTTAACTAGAGCCATTACATGAATTCCTAAGGAACCTCATGAATGACTGAGTGAAACTGGCCCCGTAGTACTAGATTATGTGGCTCTCTGGTTAGACCCCATGTCATGTCATAGCAAAGAAGACCGAGGACAGTTAATAGTCCCGGAAGACTAGAGGTATTGGTGGAAGCTCTTTTCCCCGGGATTGAAATAATAACATGATGGAGATATTATCAAGTTAACATGCCCCCGGGATTAAACAAACGTAACAGTAGTACTTCTTCTACATCTGGGGTTATATAATCCTTTAGAACAATTAGCTCAAATGATTTGTTTTAGAAAAAAAAAGATGTTATTAAAGAGCCGAACTTATTTGATAGTCACATAATCGCGTAAGACTCAATTAAGAAATGGTCTTCAAAAAATGTTGCAAAGCTATTTAAGTTATATATGTAGCACAATTTAAGTAATTTAAAGTCTTCAAGTAAACTCCCCAAAAATTTACCTAAAACCTTAGTTAAATTTACACAAACTTAACTACGATTTCTTAAGCCTGTGAGTAGTTCTTCCCCTGTACACTTGTAACATAATGTAACTGTTTCTATATACATATAAATTAATTATAGAAAGATGAAGAATTTCTAATGTAAGTACAAGTGCATGTAGAAGGACTATTTATGTTTATATATAATAATATTTCTTAAGTAAAATGATTTACATAAAAGTACATATTTTACATGAAACTACATACACGAATACTAAATACTAGTCTGATAGATGAGTGAATGTAAACATTTATCCTGTACATATGTATGTAAGTTTGTACATATTTTATATATGTAAAGTAGGTACTTTCAGTGTTTAGTTTTATTTTTTTTCTTTTCCTTTGCTAAATATTTCTTAACGTGTACATATTTGCACATGCATACATACATATAAAGGTACACAGCCAGACACTTCTGGATTTTTTTCTTTTTGGATTTTATACTGAAAATGCTAAACGATAAAGATGTTTTACCTTTAATTTCATGCATAAATTATTTATTTATGTAGTATGTTTTAATGTGTACATGAGTGTTTTTTTTTCTAAGTGTATTTACATAAATTGTGATACATTTAGATATTAAGGAGGTATTTTTTTTAATTTTGAACATTGTGGATCAGATGTTTTACTTTATGTATGCAATAGCATTAATTTTAACACAGGCGGTGTAAACAACTAACCATTCTTAACTTGCAAAGTCTTGTCCATACGTCTGTGTAAGTTAGTGCAGCTCGCTGGCACCATCTTACTTCAAATGGAGTTAAAAAATTAGGAATAAAACGAAAAAAGAAACTGGAATTTGGATATGGAACAATACTGTGATCTAAGGAACTAAATCTTAATAATGATAAAGATAGGTGAGATCAGAATTCTCACTGATAAAACCAAAAATGGTATTGAAATGGTATTATTTTATTTACCAATAAAAGTTCCAATTTAACAAAACTCCCATCAGAAACCTAAACCACTTCTGTACTGTCTGTCCAGATTCCATCTGGGAGTCTGATGGATTTCCTTATGTCGCTGCATTTAGTTTATCTAGTTTGAAAGAAGGATATTGGATCGGACATGTTTTGCGATCTCTTGTGGGAATCGATCCCATGGCCTCCGGTCTGACAGAATAGAACACGAATTACTATTCTACTGGATCCACAACCCACATATAACTTGTCGGATCCAAACCAATCATTACAAAGTCTAATTTTGTATCTCTATGTTTTGAAATTCCCCGGGGAGAGTGATCTTGATTAAGTAGACCGCTCATTAGATAATTTCAAATCGAGCCCGTCAGTATCAGCTCAGTTCAATCAGCCAATAAGCAGCAAATGATAATGTTATAAAATTGGCACAAGGGAAAATGGAAAAAAATAGGACCATCACATAAAAGCTTTCATAATAGAGTGTAGTTCTTACACAAATAGTTATATATAGTTAATTCCGAAAAGATCAGTTCCTAATTCAGCTGAAAATAATTTTAAAATATAATGGTCGATGGTGGGGGTCATCATTTGGATAGTCTTGATTTCATACTTAACGTAATTTTTCGGTCTAGTTCAGTTCAGATTTAAATCAGTTCTAGTTCAGTTTTACATCTGTTCAGTTCTACTTCATTTCTAGTTCAGTTCTAGTTCAGTTCTAGTTCAGTTCTAGTTCAGTTCTAATTCAGTTCTAATTCAGTTCTAATTCAGTTCTAGTTCAGTTCTAGTTCAGTTCTAGTTCAGTTCTAGTTCAGTTCTAGTTCAGTTCTAGTTCAGTTCTAGATCAGTTCTAGTTCAGTTCTAGTTCAGTTCTAGTTCAGTTCTAGTTCAGTTCTAGTTCAGTTCTAGTTCAGTTCTAGTTCAGTTCTAGTTCAGTTCTAGTTCAGTTCTAGTTCAGTTCTAGTTCAGTTCTAGTTCAGTTCTAGTTCAGTTCTAGTTCAGTTCTAGTTCAGTTCTAGTTCTAGTTCAGTTCTAGTTCAGTTCTAGTTCAGTTCTAGTTCAGTTCTAGTTCAGTTCTAGTTCAGTTCTAGTTCAGTTCTAGTTCAGTTCTAGTTCAGTTCTAGTTCAGTTCTAGTTCAGTTCTAGTTCAGTTCTAGTTCAGTTCTAGTTCAGTTCTAGTTCAGTTCTAGTTCAGTTCTAGTTCAGTTCTAGTTCAGTTCTAGTTCAGTTCTAGTTCAGTTCCAGTTCAGTTCTAGTTCAGTTCTTGGTCAGTTCTAGTTCAGTTCTAGTTCTGTTCTATTTTCATACATAATGGAAACATTCCTTTAATATACTGTTAGTGACATAAAAACCTTCAAACTCCTACTTAAGCTATTGTGTGTACTTTAACAATTTAGCTATATTACACTTTTTTATTTCTTAGTAAAGGAAAAAATAAGTTAAAGTGCATGAGAAAAAGAAACTCCTGTAAGTAGGCTTTACTCTATTCCTAAGAATTTTACAGGATTGTTTTAACTTAAACATAAGTAGCAATATACTTTATTCATAAACACACATACATATATACATATGTATGTATGTCAGAATCTTAGCATAAGTTTCTGTAAGTGAGGTTTGTATGTGAATTTAAATGTATGTTTGTGTTTATATAGAAAGTTTTGATTAAATATGCATAATTACCTGGTATCGTTTAAGAAACTGAAAGAGGTTGTTTCTCTTTGTCAACTTAACTAAAATACATAAGAATGTCCTGTTTCTATTATACACAAGAATCATTTTCATACACAAACAGTTTATTTACAGGCATACATTTGTTGTTTGTAAATATTTACATATATATGTATGTACGTCTGTCTACTCATAGGTAAGTAAGTTGTGGGTAGTTGTATAAATTTCCTTTGTTTTCCAACGTTGACATTTTGTGTAACTAAAAATAAAAGAAATATACAATTTTAGTTTAGTTGTGTTCTTATTTTACAAATAAGAAGTTGTAAAAATATAGTTTTATTCTTTGTTGGTTGTTTGGTTTGTTTGTAGGTTGTTTTTTAAAGTTTAAGTTTTATATTTCAATAGTAGTTGTGATAGACTTTATTGTCTTAACTTCTATTCGTCTTCACAAATGCTGTGACACACTGAGAAGAAAGTGTTAGTAATTTTGTTGAAATGAATAGTTAATAAGTAATATAAATGTATGGAATTTTTAAAGAATTTATTAATATTTTAGTTATTCAGGAGAAATCGTATATAATCTATAATCAGGCTTTTTCATTATATGACGTTTTACTAATAAATCTAGTCCAATTTGTTAGAAGTATAAATTTGGTTGTCTATGAGTTCCCAGGATTCAAAATATCGCCTAACATTGGACGTTCACAATTCAACGAAATCTTTAAACGTTGGACTTGGTACAAGTACTTAAAGGGCCTTTACTTCTAAAATCACTTTAAAACTACTCAAAGCCCAAAGATATAAAATTGGTAATCTTCTGCCAACATTTTCTCATCGAGTTTAAATTCCCTCTCCTTTTTCTTTATTCTCGGTTTACCCCCACTGCAATCTACAATGACGTTATCAAAGTGTTGTTTTTGTTATTGTTTTTTGGGGTTTGAATGAATGATACGAATTCGTAGTGATAGAAAATGTCACTGCAATTTTACCAGGGCACAAACTTGTTATAGTGTTTTAATTTTCCGGCTATTTAAGTGAAAAGTTTAAAGCACTTTGTAAGAAGATTAAAAAAGTTTTTCATTTTCTAAAAAGTTATTTCACTTGATTTTTTTTGCACTTCTCTTTTGATTTTATTTGTTATTAAGTTATTGAACACTACAACATTGAAATTCATTTTGAATTGATAATTTTTATTGTTGTTGTCATTGCTGTTATAAGTATTAGTATTTTGTAAAAGCAAGGACAAAATGGTTGGTTTAAATTTAATATTAGGAGTAAGTAATTACTGTCAAATTAAATGGATATTTAGAGTATAGTGTATAGTAAATGTTAGAATAAATAAGTAAAATAGTTTATTTGAACATATGTGATCATATATATGTTTGCCTAGACCTGAAATATGTTTGGTTATGATTACAACAATCATTCTATCATTGTTGCAAAAAAATCTTCGAGCAAGATTCATTTTTGCTTCCAACAAATTACATTTAACACTAGTAATAGTTTCGTTTTAAATTTTGTATTAAAATAATTTAAATTCGTGCTTAATTTATCGTTTTTAATTTTATATTTATTTATTTGGAATTTTATGATTGTATTTTATAATTGCATAAATTATATGTTTAATTTTGAATATTATAAATTATATTTGATTTCATTTCAATATTATTATTTGCCATATTTTGCAATTTACAATGTTAATTTATTAATAACAATTGGAATTGTAATAATAATAACAACGACAACAAAAATTTTGTTTTATTTTGTTATATTCTGTTGTTTGTTGATTTTATAAATCAGTTCTTTAAACAATACTACTACAAAGAATTAAACATTTAATTAAACATTTAAATAATTTATATACATATATTAACAATAAACAATTACACACAAATACATTTGTAAAGGAAGGAGTATAAACAATTAAACAAACATTTATAGAATTTATATATATTTATGTTTATCTTTTTGATTCGTTTGGCGTTTTGGTTTTTTTTTTGTTATTTATTGTAATTCGAGTACGAATATACAAACAACAATAACAACAATCAAACATTTATCATGTGTAATTACAAGACAACAAAAACAATAATAATAATATTATATAATAAGCATATATGTATGTATGTGTGTGTGAGAAAAATACTACAATAAAATAAAACATAAATCCATAAGTTTATCATGATGATGTCATCAGTATATGAACTTTTATATTTATGATGACTACTATTTTAACATGTTTGTGTGAGTAAGTATTTCAGCAATCTGTGGTGACTAAACCCCCAAAAAAGATCATCTTATATTTAAGGTTTTCACATGATTACAGAATAACTTATCCTAAACAGATTAAAAAAAAAAACTTTCTTTCCAAACAATAACCCTTCGATAGGTTACTTGTTATAGATTAGACTATAGACTAGGCTATAGACTAGGCTTTAGACTATAGACTAGACTATAGACTGGACTATATACTAGACTACAGACTGGACTATAGACTAGACCATAGACAAGATTAAACAAAAACAATAACCCTTCGATAGGTTACTTGTTATAGATTAGACTATAGACTAGGCTATAGACTAGACTATAGACTAGACTATAGACTAGACTATAGACTAGACTATAGACTAGACTATAGACTAGACTATGGGCTAGACTATAGACTAGACTATAGACTAGACTATAGACTAGACTATAGACTAGACTATAGACTAGACTATAGACTAGACTATAGACTAGACTATAGACTAGACTATAGACTAGACTATAGACTAGACTATAGACTAGACTATAGACTAGACTATAGACTAGACTATAGACTAGACTATAGACTAGACTATAGACTAGACTATAGACTAGACTATAGACTAGACTATAGACTAGACTATAGACTAGACTATAGACTAGACTATAGACTAGACTATAGACTAGACTATAGACTAGACTATAGACTAGACTATAGACTAGACTATAGACTAGACTATAGACTAGACTATAGACTAGACTATAGACTAGACTATAGACTAGACTATAGACTAGACTATAGACTAGACTATAGACTAGACTATAGACTAGACTATAGACTAGACTATAGACTAGACTATAGACTAGACTATAGACTAGACTATAGACTAGACTATAGACTAGACTATAGACTAGACTATAGACTAGACTATAGACTAGACTATAGACTAGACTATAGACTAGACTATAGACTAGACTATAGACTAGACTATAGACTAGACTACTGACTGAATTTCATTGCCTGCTATACACATTGAAGTGACGCTGTCAAATTCGAAAAGAATACCTTGTCTCTACATAAAACCACTGGGTTTTCCTTATTAAAGGGGAGATAGAGAGAGGGGGTATATCATTTATATAAGTATATTGTTATCAGCAACAATATTCAAACTTTTGTTAAACTTAATTGTGTTTATTACACAATGATTTCCGATTAATATTTATTAAATTAAAACAATTTATGAAATTTTATTGCAAATACTTGTATTAATAACAAAATAATTGTTCAAATTGCCACTGTTTGTTTATGGCAATTAAATGGTTTTTCTTCTATGTTATTTAGTTAAATATAATTGTTAGTTTGTTCATATTTATATACTCTACAGTTAAATGTGAATATACTATATAGTATACAACAAACCGAAAAAATTTATATATATATTATGAAAAATTTTTAATAAACGATTTTCATGATATTAATGAATTTCTTCATAATAGTTATGAAACATATTATAAATTTTAAGAACAGATTAGGGAAACATTTGTACGGCTGTCCTTATGAAATAATTCATTATAATTGTGAAAAAGTTTGTAACTTTTATGAAAACTTTATGAACATTTATGATTTTACTTCATAAATAGGAAGAATATCGGGTTTTTTTATGAATGCGTTCACGAAAGAAAATACGACTTATGTTTGTATGTTCATTTTCATTATAATTATGAAATTGTATTTAAATATATTATATAAATCTTTTTTAAAGTTTCATAATATTTATGAAACTATCAAAATTTTGAAGAAAAATTTTATAATATTTACGAAAATTGTTAAAAATCGACTTGTTTTTAATTTTATTGGTATTATTACATCTGCTTTTTTATTGAGGCCTGACAGTACGTAAAATTAAATCTTAAAAAAACTCTCTAATTATAGAAAAATTGAGTAAAAATGCCCTCGTCCAAGAAGGAATGGAATAGCAACTCTTCAGAGCTGTCAGCTCTCCCGACAAAGGATCGTTTGTACTTAAATTAATTGAAGTTCTATTCTTTAACCATTTTTGATATCGCAAAGTGTTCATATTAACGAATAAAAGTGCAAATTGATAATATCACAAAACCTCAGTGTACTGTTAAATACTAAAAAAATATGAATTTATTTCAGTAGGGCATCAGCTACCGGAAATAATCATCAATAATTTGGTTATTTATTTTGCAATACTTGTCTTTTTTTGTTATAAAAGCCAATGTATATTATTCAATTTAATAAAAAAAAAATCAGTTGGTTTTTATGTAGAATTAAAAATAAAATAAACAGCACAAAAAATTTTTTTTCAATTTTAAATTGCATGATTTTCTTGTTTTTAATATTCAAATGGGATCTGAAAAATCAATGGTCCTTAACGTTTTGTTTTTATACGAAAGTATAATTTCAATTTGGCTGTTGGTTTTTTATAACAAATAATAACAAATATATCGTGACCCTATATTCAAAAAGTGCGAACTCAATTTTGGGCAAAGTGAGTTTTTGATGCAAAAGGATTCCTCAATGCATGATCCACGTCTGGTATAAATTTGAAACCAAAAAAGTAATTTTTGCACTTTTAACAACAATTTTTGTTAATATGCTATCTCAAAGTTAAATTTTTATTGAAGAAAATAAGTGCTAACTTCCATACAAATTTTAAAAAATTTTTTAAAACTTCAAATTTATTTAAAATTTATTTTGTATATTAACAAGATGAACATGCTGAACACAAAACAGGTGAAGATTAATAAATTTAATGTATAGTTTTTAAGATATTATCATTTATATATTTGTATATAAAGCCAGTTTTAGACTTTAAATAATGTTTTTCCGAAAAATGTAAAGTTATTTCAGAAATCGTTTATAACATTAAGATCTATAATATTCTATGGTTGCAATTTATAATTTTTATTATAAAAAAGTCTTTAAATGTGCAAATTATGGAGTATTATTCAAAAAATATTGGTACTTTTTATATTCAAAAACTTTTC